ATGTTGGCAACAGAGCAGAAAGAAAGGACTGACAATGTAGAAATTATAAAAACTGTTAATAATAATATCAACCCAATAATTATTAATATTTTACAGTTTATATAATCTATTCAATGTTTTAAATAATGCCAGAAAAGCTTTTTGTGTTATGGATTTATTAACAGAAGATAAACAGGAAAACGCCTCACTTCACAACACAAGTCAGCAGATTTGATCTTATTTAGCTYAATGTGATCTGAGCAGAACATAATGTAACAGTTTAAAATTAAAATRATCTTATAAAGTYSATGTAATCAYTGTTATTTATTGAAMTGGTTAGCAGAAATTAGCTTGTGGAGCATATATACAGAGTKTAGCACTGTTGAATCATGCTACAATTTAACACAAACTATTAAATATTACAGCTGATTTGTCCTCTGATTAATATTTAGACCTACAGAGTGTAAAATAATATTATAAATGTGAGTATTTTTAGGTTTCTGTTAGAGGAACCTGACTTGTTAAGAAGATGTTAGCTAACAGAGACAAGTTTCATCCTATAACCAGAGAACATTTTCTAACTGTTGACTGGTAAATATAAATATTATTATTTTTTATGACAGTAAGAAGAAATAATAAATACACTTTATTACTAGCTGAAGTCATCATTTTTCAACTAGCTAAAGTCTAAGTTACAGGCTGACTTCAGGTCTGGTTTAGATCATTGTTATTTATAAATTATATATTTTTCTGGTATAAATCTGCTGTTTTACATGATTGTTGAATGAAATTAACATAATTATTAATTTATTGTAAAAAGATGACAGATAATTTGTGAAACTGATCCGGTTCAGCTGCTGTTTATCTATTAGTTTCTATGGAGACTGTGAGCCGTTGCCCTTTTAGGACGCTATTTCTGCTCCTCCATGCTGTCACAGGTGCTACCAGTGGACGGTATGGGCGGGGCTCAGTCTAGTGATCTTTATATTTAAGTCTATCTAGTAAGTCATACTAAAATCAAGGTATTTGGTTTCTCATTCTTGTGTTCAGCACCATGGATAGTTCCCTCAGCACAGAAATTATGGCAATTAGTTCATCAAAGAGGTAATTGCTAATCTGTGGGTTGGTATTTAAAAGAAAAACTTTCAATTTTTTTACCTGGTCCCAGTACAAGTCAAATATTTTCTTGTTGTAGAGTTATTGAGTTTGAGCAAAGCAAAGGCTCCACTGAGTTCTGCCTTCCACCGGCATGAAAAATATGGATTTACGACTGAAAGTAGAAAAGTAAAGTCAATGTAAATGTAAATACAAAAATGGAGCTGCATAAATATATCCCTGAGCGCTCTGCTTTGGTTGCACACACATGCGCACGCTGTCCGGCGCATAAACAGTTATCACACTTTGCAAAAATGTTACAACAGCCCACAGTTCCAGAGAGACGTCCGTGAAATGGGGCTCGTGGGTTCGCTGTGACGGCCGGTTCCAGGGCTGTTGGAGGGTAGGGTGTCAGCAGCGTGATTATCAGCAGACAGATAGCGGATGACAGCTGCCATTGGTTATTGATGACGTTCATAATTAAAATCCCTTATGGGGAGAAGCAAAAGAACAAAAAAAGGAGAGGAAAAAAATCACACAAATGATGAATGGTCCTTTCATCTTTATGGCTGATATAGGATCCACCAGGCTCTTTAGCGTGAATATTGCTTTCCAGGAAAGTCTCTGAATTTGACTTCAAAGAGGAGTGCTCTGCTTTTAATATTTCCAGAGCTCATCATGGCCTCATGTTTGTGTGTATTTGTGTGTCCTTGTGTCTCTGCTTCTCATGGACTAAAAAAATAAAACAAGCTAAATAAGAGATTAGGTACAACACCAATTGGGAAAAATTTAGGATGCTTTGTAAAATGGAAATAAATGCAGAATGAAAAGTAACAGGTCCTGGGTTTAAAAAGAGTGTTTCAGAGGCTAAATCTCTTAGAAGATGGGCAGAGGTACACTGCATCTAAAAACAGCAGAACCTAATCTTCCTGAACAGAATACTGGGAAGACTTTGAAAATCCCATCATCTAAAGTTTATAATATCAGTAATAAATTTTAAATAATCGGGTAAATCTCTGTGCTCAAAGGTCCAAGGTTAAAGTCTATATTTGATGCTCGCGATCTTCAAAAAATAAACAGGTCTGATTCTTTTATGGACGTCACTATGGGCTCAGGAACACTTMCACAAATCATTAATTGTAAACAATTCACTGTTCAATCRCTCTATTATACAAAGAAGAGGCYATATGTGAACACTAGTTATTAATGYTTCTCTCTTTGAAATAAAACYCTTTAAAAAAATGGACCGAGGCAAATAAGAAAGCTCTTCTGGTTTTGGATAAAACAAAAATTGAGATTCTTTTTGAAAACCACAACCAACCATGTCCTTTAACCATTGACCATTTGACCTGATATCAGTTCTCAGTTAAAACGCCAGCCTCTCTGTTGGTATGGGGGTGTATTAMTGCCTATTGCATAGGCAGCTTACACATATGTTGCATTATTGCAAAAAAGCGTTGAAATGGCTGCTTATACGTTAAAGTTAAAGCCACKATTTCAGTTCCTTCTTATTTAATCAWATCCCAAAATAAACGATGTTACAAAATGAGATATTTGACTTTTACAAGCATGTATTTTCTAGAACATCACATGCTGTAATCCAGATCTTTGTCAGAGAAATCTTTGGATATTTCAGCCTYGTCTGCATCCTTTACTGAATGGCCTTGTAATAGAAGAGCCCCCCTGACTTGCCTTCAGTCCTTTTACTATTTGAAAACATCATGAAATAAAAAAAAATGTCAAAGACGACCCAGGACTGTTGAACGGCAAGAATCTTAGACATGGCAAGAATGAGCTGATCTTCTGAGTTCCTCGATGTTTTCAGACTAACGTGGCACAGCCCAGTTTTAATAGATATGTTGCTGCCATCAGTTAAAAAATATTTTTTCTAACAAATGGTTTAATTTCTTAGTGTTACGACCCTTTAGCTCAAATAACACAACAAGACCCACACAAAACAATAGGTAGAGTTTAAATATGAGGTTTATTAAAAGTCAAGTCGTTTAGGGAGGCTAAATGCCACACTGCATCCTGACAACCTGGAGCAGAGGGAGGAGAGAGCAAGTTCCCTCCCCCTCAGGGGGTGTGGCCTATTTAAGTAGCCTAATCATGAGATACACACTCCTTCATCACTTTAACATTTGTTGTGTTTGTTATGTTCATGTGATTTGCAAATCATTGCATTGTTTGTATTTATTTTTYATGTAATTTATCAACTCTTCTGTAATTTGGGTTCAGTGATAGGAATCAGACTTGAAACCTAAAAGCAATCATTCTGTGAGACTGTTTTCTGCTGGAGTTCTGCCGCAGCGTTGAGAAAGAAACACACGGCTCAGCATCATGTGGTGGTTTCCACTCAAGGATCATGTGTTTCTTTGATCTTTTAAGCCTGAAAGGGTTGAAAAAGAAGCAAGAGAGTTTCTCAAAGTCGTGCTTCAATAACGCTTCTATTGCCTTTTCTGGGGTTTTGTTTGTTTTTTGGACTGTGAGGCTCGAAAGTTTCATAAGTAATGTCTCAGTTGGATCACAAGTGGGAAGTAGAATTGGAGAAAATTAATATTGAAGCAAAATAATGTCATGATTTATCAAATATCAATTCATCTAAATGAAATGTCAGTTAAATGTTTGTAGATATTTTTTAACATCTGGAGTTTCAAAGTTTTACTTTTTTAAATGCAAAAGGTGCCTCAACATCATTTTAGGTTATTTTAGCTCTTATTCAAAAATTAGAAAACACTGCTAATAATTTTACATTTTTCAGACCAAAGCTTTTCTAGAAATCAAGCTGTGCGTCATAAACAAACTCTTCTGTTGAAGAAATGTTAACAACATCTGTGAATTTAAGTGTTTCTGAAGTGGAGATTTTAAAAAAAAATATTAGAATTTTTAATTTTTTGTTGAGTAAGAGGAATATGATTTTAGTTAAAAAGTTTGTGACTGCAATAAATGAAAATTATACAGCTTGGGTTTATATTCTGTTAAAGCATTCCCAGTTAAATGTTGCCAATTATTCCTTTTCATGAAGTCAATCAGTTGTGTTTTACAAGTTTTATGCAAATATACTGTAAGTGCAGAAATGCAAATGAGGAAATAGGGCATATTTGTAATTTCAATACATTTTCTCTCCTGGTAAAATAAAGGATTAATAATATTAATTGAATTAAACAAGTTCCAATCTGCATTAGTCAAAGTATTAAAAAAAAGCTACTTATTCTGTGCAACGTGCTCTCCACTGGTCTGATAATATAAATAAAGCAAAATAACCAACGTTTAAATCAAAATGCAGTTAATTAAACAATACATCAGCCTGAAGCGTTGCACCATAAAACACTGCTTCCTCAACACTTTAAGCTTTGATTTCTGTGCACATTGTGTTGTGTGATGTCTAAACATTAACGCTGATGTTTTATTCAGCCTTCTTATAGACCGCAGAAACACACATGTACTGTTTGTGACTGTGCTTTAGATGAAAGCAGATCCCTTTTTTTTGTGTGTTTTTTTTGAAGCGAGTACAGTCAGACTGGACGCTTTTCAGGGATAGTCTGCTGCCCTGCAGGCACTAGTGTAAAAAAGCTGCACCACATCTGTGTCGATGAGACAGAGAGGATGAGTATTATGAGTGCCAGAAGCACACGGGGAATTCCTGCACGTCTGTTGCATTGCTGCATGAGAGCATGTGTCAGAGTAAAGCTCTCCCTAATAACCTGCTAAACAGCCTCCTTCAACCCACCCACAACTCCTCCGTCCTCCCTCTCTACCTCAGGATGGGGCTGCCGTGACATCACCCCCTCCCGCACTCTCTGATAGGCCGGCCGATGGAGGGAAGCCGATTCTTTCTGCAGCTGAAAAAAAAAAACTGATACAGAGTGAAAATGTGGGAGGACCAGCGTAGAGAGTGTACGAGAGTGGGGGCGAGCAAGAAGATTGATGCTGAGGCAAGCCGGCACTGCGCAGCGCTCACACACACTCGCACACACACACTTTGAGAATCACGCATACTCTGGGCATTGCACTCCCAAGCTGCTTTACAGGCAGGAAAAACCACTGAGTCTGAGTCCGCAGCCCGTCACTGCGGGACAGGACAGAGGACGTGAAAAGGGGAAGACCCCGTTTCTTCTGCTTCGCCTCAGAGCAACAGTTCCACTCCTGTCATCTCAGGAGGTCCAGGGGGGGGGACTCTTTAAAAGACACCTCCTCAAAAACAAGTGGGAGGGAAGAGCAGCAAGGGCAGGAGCAAGGGCGAGCATTGCCTCTTCCCGGAGGTCGTCGTCATGGACGTCCTCTTCATCTCCTTATGAAAAAAAAAACAAAAAAAACCAAAAGGAAAAAACAGGCGGTAATCGACGAGATGGCACGCCGAGCAGGGGGCGAAGCCTCCCCGAAAAAGAGCACATCCCTCAACCTGGTGGCGGGGTTCTACCACTACCTGCGTGGTAAGTGGGGCAGCTTGTGTGGGTGAGAAGTTCATGTGTGTGTGTGGGACTGCAGTATGGATTCTGTACGTGACTTTGCAGCATAAGTTTCCTGCAGGGTGGAATGTTCTTTATTTATTTAGATGGTTTTTTTTTCTGTGTTCAGGTTGTGCATTTGGCACCACAACAGTGTTTGTGTCTGAGTTTGGAGGCAGCTGATGTTAAAGCCTGCAGCGAGTGAAACAAGCAAACCCAGCAGACAAGCAGCACCTCCCTGCATGTATCACACTGCAGGGGTCTGGCAGTCAAATGTTTGATTTCTCGTCTCTGTTTGAGCCGCTGGGTGTCTGTATTCAGATGACAAACACCCGGCGTCCCGGCTGAGGGCTATTTGAAACATTTTAGGCTGTTTGAAGCGAGTTTGTGCCTCCTTCCCTCCCTGTCAACCACAGTTTTGAGATAATCAACTAGATTTGAATGTTTTTTTTTCTCGTTCTGGTCATCCTCCCTGCAGGATGGTTTGCAGGAGGCGTAAACGTTTGTGGATGAGACCAACGATGCAGAAGGTGTTTTGAAATGCTCGATTGCTGAGGGTGCTTTTCCCTAATGAGAGAACTTGAATGTGTGTGTGTGTGTGTGTGTGTGTGTGTGTGTGTTTGTGCTAAAGTCAAAGTCACCTCGTCCCTGAGACTGATTCTGGCACGTTCATGCGTGTTTTTCCGCCACACACGTTTTTCCCGCTCGTGGATCTTTCCCCGTCCTCATCCAATATCTTAACCCATCAATATTTGATCRTTCCTGGACCCAATCAAAAGATTAATTCATAGAACAGGGACTGGCTCAGTGGCACGTATGACCATGCCTGGCTGTATCTGCATTATGCATGAACAGCACACCCTCTATCCAGCTGAAAACCATCTCTCCCTTTCCTTTTTTTATGCCCACACTGCCAACTGACGCGCAACTTGAGTTTAATCAATTTGTCAGCATATTTCATTAAGGTAAAGCACTATAGATGTCCCCCGCTTTCTGATAATGTGCTTATCTCCAGGATATTGCTCTTTGGCTCAGATGGGACAGAAACACCATCATGCTTTAAAAGTCTTTGTGTGTATATGTGTGTATGTATGTGTATATATATAT